TAAGCACTGAAACGTTAATTTTTTTGTGTTTAACTTTTTAGTATGTTTTGCTTGTGACAATCAAAAATATGAAGTGCCATCTCATGGCTGATGTTTTGAGTCTGTGTTCTAAAAGAAAGTAGAAAATGCTGAATTTCAGGTTTCCCAAGTTCTTCTGAAGTTGCTACAGTGGCGTCACTGTTTGCATCGCGTTCTCTCTGCAAATGATTGATTACCCAGATAAAGCTAGGAAGACATAATAATTGGAATAATTGGTGGTTTAAAATTGCTCACTACACACGCCTTTATTGTAAATACAAACAAAACATTTTTTAAATTATTGTAAGTAAAGCGTTTACTATCATTTAATGTTGTCAGAAATGATCCACTGTTTTCCAGATGGTATTTTGAGATGGTTAAAGCACGTATCGAGGCCAAGAGATGTTTACTGAGACCCGAGAATGAGGAGGGAGCATTCCTCGTCTGGATATCGGATGAAAATAAGCATTATTATTTATCAGGTACATCTGCTCAAACACAAGTTCACACAAACACAAAACATATAACAGTTTCTTTTAATCTTAAGAACCAAATACCTTCTGAAGAACTTTCCTAACAGTCGCCATTTTAAAATGTATTCAAACTTGTTTTTTTTGCTTGCTAAACTAGCCAGATTCCAACAAGACTGAGGCTAAAAATTGAGATACAGTCTTATATTTACAAAGCACAAGTTAAAAGATACAGTGGAGATTATTTGAGTGAATGAATTGCTTAACTTCAGTGCCAAAAGCCTGCCATCACAATTCCAAATGTGACAGGTATAGAAAGCCATTTGTAAAAGTCTTCAAGTTTGTTTCATGCCAAAATATTCCAGAGTTGGCTGTCAGTGGTTTTGTGACTAGGAACAACTCAGCCACAAAGTGGTAGCCCCCCTCAAATGATGATCCACAGACACTGAGGTACATAAAGCACAATAACTTTGTGCAACGGGGCGGCACGGTGGCCTTCCAGTTAGAAGGTTGACTGTTAATTGTAAGAGTATATTATTGCTATAACATTTTCCGTATAAATAACAGGAGTATTTCTTTTTTAAAGTGAGGAATGGCCCTCATGCTCGACATTACCGGATCAAGCAGGACGAACATGACAAGCAGTTTTTCCTCGTTCATCACACAGCATTCCAGAGTCTGCAAAGCCTGATTGAGTTTTACTCAAGGAATGAGGGCGGCCTTTCTGTAAAGCTTACGAAAGCATGCGTGAAGGTCAGCAGTTTCAACCTACATTAATGTTATTTGAACCTAACTCCAAAGCCCAGCTGTGATAACGACAAAAAGCACTGTATTATTTCCCCAATTGTGGTTTGAAGATGCAGAGCCAAGTTTCAGCTGTCACATGACCACGAGAGCAAGAAGAAAGTAGTGGGATGCCCTGAAGGATGCTAAATTCTGTAGCCCTTGATTCCATGTTTCTCTTGCAATGCAGCAAAGAGCTATAGCCTTGTACATCTATTGCTTTGGTGTTGAACAGAAAAATGTACCTCATATTAACACAACTGACCCCCCCAAAATTAATACCCTTCTTTATTCTTTACATGTTCAAACCATTTCTTACTTTTATTGAAAACAAAACAAGATAATACATTACAAGATAAATTGCCTAGTCAGAAAACAAATCAGGCAAAACAAATGTGGCATACAGTGTGTGGGCCAAGCATGGCTCATGGCTTGATGCTCTTTTATTTGTTTATTGTTGAACTTTATTGATAGAAGGGTCATAGATAGACTACAAATCAGTAAGAGAGAAAGACGGGAAAAGACTAGAAGCATGACCAAAACGTGGAACAATTGCACCCTGTGTTCACTTCCACTAGACCACCGGAGCTGAGAGAGGAGGTCTTGTTCTTAATATGGGACACAAGACATGGGGACATACATGGCATTTGACCTGGTTGACCCATGAATAGCTCTTCTCTGGAATCCAGACTCGGTGCTGTCATGTTCCTTAAGTCAAGCTTTAAGGGTCAAAGTTGGGGTGCATATGTAAAACAATGTAATCATAGTAATCAGTTATGGCTTATTTTGCTTGATCGGTTTCTCTTCCAGCTGGATCAGCCCGTTCCTCAAACTCTGTCATATGAAACCGAATGGGAAATAGATAGAAGCTCACTGGAAAAAATCAAGAAGCTGGGCAGTGGGGAATTCGCAGACGTTTGGCAAGGGCGCTGGAACAACACCACTGAAGTGGCCATCAAAGAGTTCAAAGGTGATGCATGCTCCTGGATCTTCTGCTTGTGCTGAACACAGTTGAAAACAATGTTTTGCAACATTTACCAATTAAAACAAATCTGTTATGATGCATGCATCTAAAATTGTATGATGCCATTATTACATCTCTGTGCCTTTTAGATGCTACAGTTAATTATTCAGACATCAAATCTGAGATCGAAATCATGAAGGAGCTGCGTCACGAGCGCCTGCTGAGGCTATATGCTGTCTGTACCACCATTAAACCCATTTGTATAATCACAGAGCTCATGAAAAATGGCAGCTTGAAGACTTTTCTGATTAGTAAGTGAAATCTCATCATTCTTTTACATTAATGCACTCTAGAAATCTCCATAGCAAAGATCACACCACAGACTGACTGATATCAATATCAAAACACTCCTATTAGACTCAAACAATATGGTGGAAGAGTAGTTAAGAAATGAGGTTTTCCTCACAGCCGAAAAGCCTCACCGTATTTACCTGTTAATTGAACCGAATATGTTGATTTCAGAGTGATCCTGTTTAAGTCCATTTTTAAGACTCACAATTTATTTTTCCCTCAGGCCACAAAGAGAAACAAGACCTTGAGTTTTCACTTATGCTGGATTTTGCTATACAGGTAATTTGATTATTTCATTGAGTAATTTATTTCTCTAGAACAGTGATCCCCAACCCCCGGGCCATGGGTCATTTGGTACTTCCGTTTGATTTATTATCCGAGTCTTAATGATGTTTTATTATGTCCACTAATTCAGTACTGCTGCAAGGAGAGAGTATTTTCATGCACTTTGTTTTTGTGTTGTCTTATTTTGAAGATATGTTTAAACGTTACCATAGAGACCAGGGTGCATTGGGGCAGAAAGGATGTTGCTCATGTCATGTTCTGTTGTTGGTGCGACGTTAGGAGGACGCCGCTAATAAAGTTGGACATGATTACACAGTGGATTTACGTTCACTATTATTATTATTATTATTATTATAGAGAAAACACCACAGTTTTTAATGCCGATCTTATCATTTTATTTAGTTTTATCTGCTACACACCTTTAGATTGGGCCGTGAAAATATTGTCAGACAATCAACCGGTCCGTGGTCCACAAAATGTTGGGGACCATTGCTCTAGAACATACCAAATGCTTGTATTTGTCTTTATTGTTCTGACTGGGCAATTGGAATATTTAAGATGTCATCTCAAGTACAATTTGGTGCAATCTGTACCAATGTGAGCTAGAATCTGACCATGACTCAGGTCAATGCAAAGCAAGTAGGTCTTAATAAAGTTGCACTGCATTGTGTCACACAGTATTGATGAGGTAAATTTGCAATAGTGATTCCTTGTAACAGATTCGGTACATTTCTCATATTATTAATTCATTTTCTTAGTTCTGTCAACACATTTCACCCTTAAATTTAAATTATGCATACAATATTTGTTTTCGGGTACTATGGTTGCTGGTTTGTGGCAAACCAGTCACTTTGGCAAACTGTCCACCCAACCATTGGACCAATGTGGGCTGGACAAATAGATTGGTGAAAGGTGTCTAAAATGGGGAAAAGACTCATTTGCAAATACTGAGATTGTTGATAAATGTTTTACAGCAAGGTTGTTTTATAGGATTCATTAGCAGGCATAATCAATACATTATTTCTAAAGGGAGCAATTTATAAACTAATGTGCTTCTGTCCAAGAACCCAGAGGCAGTAACATTGAGATTAACGTTAGGGATGGTGCTGGGTACACATCTTCATTATTTTCACAATCTCATCCACTGCTGCTGTCATGCAAAATCAGCTGCTTTTTGATATTCAGATTGATGCCTCCTCATTTCCTCTCCTCTGGCCTCCTGCTCACAACCTGCCATTCGATCATCATGAAGGACAAATCAATCCAGAGAATGCACTAGAGGAGGCGAGGAAGGAGGGAAGAGCAGGCATTAATTTAAGTGTTCAAACACCTTACACAAGCATAAAACAACACATCAGGCTGATTTATCTGCCAGCAGTCTCCAAACACGTTTAAAGGAGTCAGGAAATGGTTTTTCCTCTCATTGGGGTCTACTCATAAAGATGTCCCTGTTTTAAAAAATGGTGTTCAAGAAAATGCCAATATTATATGTGTTTCTTAAGAGTGTCTTTTAAACTGTCAGTTTCAGTATAGTGTGTTGACTGAACTTTTGCAAATTATCTGATGTAAGATAAAACTGCTGGCCAGAAATCTGGAGAAACTGCAATTTATTTCCTGGAAATGAAAAGTAATGGCCATTGAGGAACAGTAGACATGGACATTTTAAGCATTACTTTCCTCATTCAAGCATTACTTTACTTTTTCCAATAATAATCATGAAAATGAAAGGAAATGAACATTTGAAATATATCAGTCTGTGTAGAATTAATGCAGAGGTGTGGACTCAAGTCATATGACTTGGACTTAAGTCAGACTCATCATTAATTTGGTGATGAGACTCAACTTGACAATATGGCAAAAAAAAACTTGCGACTCAAATCCCAATGATTGACTCAGACTTGACCCTTTTGACGGATAGACTTGAATAATATTCAGTTCACATTCACATTGTGCTGTGTCCAAGAGAAAGAAAGAGAGAGAGAAAGAGAGAGAGAGAGAGAGAGAGCATGCACAAACAGCTAATAAAACTAAAGCTTTTTTAAGTTCATTTATTGGTTGTGGGCAGGATATCTGGATACATACATTACATTTACACATTTGGCTCAGGTTGAACACATTTCACAGCTTCTTGCTTTCCATGGGGTTTGAACCCACAACCTTTGATTTGCTACCACAATGCTCTACGGATTGAGCCGCAGGAAGCTTTGTTTTTTGTGAATGACTGGAGTTTGAATTTAGCGACTTTTGACTTGACTTAGACTCGATCTCACCTCTGAATGAATGTATACAATTCAACTTAATATTCTTATCATATGACCAGCACCTGTATTAAGGTTTATGTTTAAAAAAATAAAAAGGTTTTATTTCTCAGATTACAGAGGGAATGATTTACATCGAGAACAAAATCGTTCACCGTGATCTAAGAGCGGAGAACATTTTGTTAACGGACATGCAGTCCTGCAAGATCGCTGATTTTGGACTAGCCCAAATTAACAAACCTGGAAGCCACAGGATATCATCAGGTGAGATATAGGTTCATGCAAACACAACACTGAGAAAAAGATTATAGAGCTGTTGATTTGCCTGCAGACATCAAACTTCCAGTGAAATGGATGGCACCGGAGATCTTTGACAACTCTGAGTACACGAGCAAGAGTGACGTCTGGTCCTTCGGTATCCTCTTAACAGAGATCGTCACTTACGGAGATGACCCATACCCTGGTGAACTGTCTTTAAAATCCCTAACTAATCTATTTTACTATACTTGATTTAGTGCAGTTTCTGGTAACCTTCTAGCCCTGCAATGCAATGGTTTACTATTTAAATTTCCTAAAATAGATATTTTTTTTCCTTTTTAGTATGAAATATTTTTGGTACATTTACAAGTACATTTACAGTATGTTACCGATACTTAAACAAGCTCAGCTTAAGCCTGCAAAGCAAAGAACAGCAGGGTCCAGTTTGATTCAAATTAGGGTTCATGATATGTCAAACACTAGGGGCAGTGTGAATATTTGTGAAGACAACACATGCGATTAAAGATGAAGATGTCTGCTTTAAACACTTTTAGAATGTTCTGTTTGTTTATGATGATCTCATTTAAATAGAAAAGCAAAAATAATATAAAAAAAAGTGTTAGACATGACTCGAACCTCAGCCAATCTAAAAGGGTTCATTATTCATTTTCTAACCTGCTTATTCCCTTTTGGGTTCACGGGGTCTGCCGATGCACATTGGGCGAGAGACGGGGGTACACCATGGACAGGTCGCCGGTCCATTGCATGTGTTCGTTTTGCTCTGTGTTAAAATTGCTTCTGCAATGAGTTTTCTCCAAGTTTCTGAACGTAACTGGAGGATGCTGTAGCTTCAAGTCATTTTATAACAGGAACTGAATCGTGCATATTGCGATTATTTAATATATGTAGTTGCAACCCTTAATTAATTTAGGGTTAATTTATTAATTAGTTAGTTAATGGGGGCAAACAGGGTTGAGTATTTAAAAATAGAAGAATGCAAAATATGTAGCTGGAAACACTGGCTAGCTTTTGACTAGCAAGTACCTAGTGATGAAACTTAAAGTTAAAAAATATTTATGCATTTAAAGTATGTAAAATGAATTAGTTTAGAAAACTAGGGATTTTCAACTGTTTGTCTTGTAATGCACTGTTTATGCTGTGATTTTTATACTTGGTTCAGCACTGGGGAGCTTTGCTGTGAGATGAAACAGCATCCAGATACAACTTTTGTTTCCTAATCTCAGGCCAAGACAAAATGTCATGTGTTCGAGGAATTCAGAGAGGAGAGAGGATGGCTCAACCACCCGGCTGCCCTGAGGCGCTCTATGGCATCATGTTGCTGTGCTGGAGGGCAAACCCTGAGGAAAGACCATCGTTCAAAGAGCTGAGGGAGCTTCTGATGGCACTCATCCATGAGCCTGTTTCTGAACTGGAGGACACGGTGCAGATCTGCTTTTAAGACTGTAAACTTACCCAAAGTAAAGCACCTTCACGCTTCTACATGCACTTATACTTAACCAGGGTCAGCCAGGTCTTCTGGAGCCTATCCTATTGCTCTCGACTCACATCACACTTCTATGGGGATTTAACTGTAAACATTATGCATATTTTTCAACTGTGACCTGTACGGAACTTATGCAAGGAATTGCAAACACACGGCAACTTTTTAAAAAAGCTTTACATGCCAATGATGCCTTGTTTTTGAAAGCGAGAGGAGTGCCTATTTGCTTAAAAATTATTCAGTGGGAAAATGAGTTTATATGGGTAAATCCCAGTCCAAAAACAGACAGTTAACAATATAAAGAGGTCAATCTTTAGGCCCATTTCCTTAAGTCTTACCCCTTAACCATTCCCTTCCTTTTGTAAGTTCGAGCAATGGCTGTTACAGTTGTACACTTAGAACAAAAGCTTATAAACATAGCCAGATCTCAGGATAATGATGTATTCCCAACAAGGAGCATGTTTAACTATCAAAAAATTACATGTGTCCCCCTGCTGGCCACAGACGGTGACATAATTTGCTTGCATATAGATTCTATAAAAATACTCTATAGATGTAATGTCCCCCATAAGTCGTGTCCTAAAAGTTTCTGATAATTCGTTTGTAGGCTCCTGAAAGTAGGTAATCAAAAGCTTAATATAACTTGATGAAAATGTAAAAAAAAACAATCATCACATTACAGTTTTCATGAAACTCAAAAGCCACATTTTTTTTTTTTGCTCAGGATGGACTTTTAAGACTTGATTACTACTCAGCCACTTGAATATGAACCGCGGAGACAGTCAGACTATTTTGGGGGGGGGGGGGGGGTGTTAAATTATTAGTATGTACTTCTCTAAATGCATTGATTTGGTCATCATTGGTTTTTTTTCTTTTCTCTCTGTTACACATAACATCTTGTCTACTCAAAGAAAAATCAAAATTGTGCTGACACTTTTAAAATGGTCTTATATTTTTGGATTTATTCTTTTGGGACTTTTGATAAGCACAGAAACTGAATAGAAGAAGGTTTGGGAAATGCTGGGCAAGACCAGAGCCCAAGCTCAAGGAGGGCAGCAGCCCTGCACAGTTTAGATGCAAACTTCATGAAACCTGAACCTACTAATTAAACTCTCCTTGGTTTGTTTTAAACTGCCAGTGTTTGAACTGAAGCAGGGCTGGAACTATAATAAGCAGAGACTGTGGCCCTCCAGGATGGACTTTGCCCACCTCTACCTTAGCTGGAACCTCGGGTTTTCCTCTAGTCCAGGTACTATAAAGGAGCAAAGGAGAGTGATCAATTTAAGAAATTGAATTGGGCCTGACACATTTTATTGCATACATGGCTATATGAAAACAGTATTTCTTAACATTTTGGACATTGAAAGACATCAACTTCCTGTTTTACTTCCCAATGGAACGCAAAGGCTTTAGTGTCATCTTACAGAGAGTCTTATGTATTTGTTATTCTTGGTTCAACAGAATGCTAAATCTTACACTTTGAAAAAGGATGTTTTATTTAGAAATCCTACTTTTATCTGAGATTATATAGTCCCCCTCTTAACAGAACTATTACAGTGCCCCTAAGTTTGAGGTTTTATGAGATTCTACTAAAGTGTTGCGTATATCTTTCAAGCACATGATGGTATTCTTAATTAGTATTACTAAAGGTGATTATGAAGTTTCTTTGTTCCTGACGAGCCAGAAATATTTGTGACTGATATTTTTGTCAATTAAGCTGCTGAAACAAAATACGAAACTACTTCAACAAATGCACAAAGTGAAGTAATACTCAGCATGTGAACAGTGTTTAAACGTGTTATCTCATGTAGAAGCCTGTATGTTTTACAGCCTGAATGTCTGTCCCAAAATTAAAAATGAACTTGTTTTTACCCTCATCATCGTTATCATTCTGTGTAACCTTTGTAAGTCAGGTTTCCTTGTTCCTTCTGGGAACATTTCAAATTCAACTGTTGCGCTATTAAAAATGCCTCTTCACCTCAACACATTCCAGACAAAGGAATTTTAACATATTTATCTATGCAGAAATGTTTACAGCGCGTTAACAAATTTCAATACCTGCATCTAATGTGGGAAAAGCAGTTTGCTGAAACCTGTATTTGCCTGTGCATGTTTAAACAGGAAGTGTTCCTTTAACTGAAACTGATGTTCGTTTTAGGATAGTTTTTGTTAATGGGGCATATGTTTAGATCAATTCCACACATCTGCAATGCCAGTTTCACTTGCCTGCATTTGTTTGCCAGGAGATAACAGTGCAAGTAGCAACAAAATGTAAATATTAGAGAACTTGACAACAACTTGAAAGTGAAGAGACGAAGCAAACTATTTTAGCGTTGGCTCCAAAGGATCAGCTTACTGCTATAATACACACAGAACCATGAACACAAAGCAATGTAAGTTAAGAGCCCCATTAACACACCTAATGAGTCCCAAAGATCCCAGAATGACTTAATACTTCCAGTAAGATTCTGAAATGTTGATGGATAAATGGCTGGTTTAACACACAAACCTCTATAAGAATATAGTCAATTATTATTTTTTTTATTTCAAGCAATTCATTCATCTTAGATAGTTATTACCTACATTATTATTATTTTTTAAATATATTTATTGTTTTTTTTATTTGAACAGATAGGACAGTAGAGGGAGTGGGATGGGAAAGACGACAGACGGGTCTCGTCGCCCTGCGCAACCTCGCTTACATGTCCTGCGTACCGTCCACTGCTCCACAGGCCAGGACACCTACATTATTTAATTTCAACAAGTGTACGCTTCCTAATTTTGGAAGTAATTTCCTAAAAAACCTTGAGGCTACCCATTTAACCATTTCATGTTTTTACAGCCAAAATTTATTTATATTATTTGTGTTATTCTCTATGAGAGAGCGTAATTAGCAACTTATATGATTAATACATTAATAAATATTATTAAGCATCATACAAAAGTAACTATTGAGACCATAAATGTCTGGTGCTGCTAACATTTCGAAATTGGGGAGCATTTGTCGTTCCTGGTGAAAGGGTTAACTTTGGCCTCTATAAAAATAAATAGTCAGCGTAATAAATATCAGTATTACTGTTATTTAGGCCATGTAAGCAAATCATCATTTTGTCATGAAACCAACAGCCCAGAAAACTGGAAGAGCTGCAAAGGATAAATGCTGCTGAATGGGGCAAAACATCAGTT